AGGCACAACATGTTTCATATGCAGACCTTATTTTCCTGTTCCAGGTTCAAATAAACCATTTTCAGTGGTACGCCGAGAAAGAGTAATGTTTTGGTCATGGAAAATCAGGTAAAGGTCCTGGAGAAGTCATTGAAAATCCTTGGTGAAAAAGTGTATGAACCCTGGAGAACACAACGGGTGGAAAACATTGTCTCCGTCTGCTTTGTATCGTGTTCTACACATTTGAGCGCCCCCTCGCAGGCACAACGATTTGTTTCCCGATCCAGACTGTACATAAATAAATCCCCCCGCCCTTCCTCTGCCCCTCACCACCTGTCATCTTCTGCTGCAGCCTCGCCACGTCTTCAGCCTGCTGAAGAAGTACGTTCGTGCCGAGCAGAAGGACCGACAGCACACCCTCAAACACTACGAGCACGTCCGCATGGTGGATCCCAAGAAGGCTGCGCAGATCAGACCTCAGGTAGCAGCGTGATAACACTTATAAACAGCCACTTTGCTAAACATGGTGTGTAGTGTACTTATGTGCATGTGTGTGTTAACAGGTAGTGACCCACCTGCGCATCAGTGAGGAGCGTATGAACCAGTCTATGGATCTCCTCTACAAGGTGCCCGGGGTGGCCGACGACATCCAGGACCAAGTTGGTGAGTCATTTTGAGACCTGTAGCACAAATATTTACAGAAATACAAATAAAACTAAGTACAGTCAAACAGACCAATAAATAAAACCTATGAACACACACACGAGGTCATAGCACTGTGTGGCTGCGCATGAGATAAATAAAAACACTCTGTTCTGATTGTGTTATATGTCACAAAGAGATTACATCGCTCTGAATTCCAGCAACTGAACACACCATTGTTTTGTTGATTAGGACATTTTGTTGTGCCTAATTCTTCTGTGCAGGGTCAAATAACACCGTTTGCTGAGAACATAATTCTCTCTCTCTCTCTCTCTCTCTCTCTCTCTCTCTCTCTCTCGGTTTTTGTGGGTTTTTGGGTTTATTGGAGTTTTGTGCGTCACGCTGCCATCTGTGTCTCTGTCTCAGAGATTCTCACAGTCTGTGCTGCGCGGCAAAACACAGCATCAAACATACGCAGAAGAAGAAGAAGATATATGACATTTCTTAAGAGGCTGTCTGTCCCTTTTTTTCTTTAATACAAACACCTGTCAGCTTTTTTAATCGTAATTATTAAAGATGTTGTAGCAACTAAAGTTCAAATAAAAGTCTCTAAGAGGCTCAACTAGGCTCTTTGCTGTGACGTCATCCTAGAGAAGTCTAAACAAACAAATAATAAATACATTTTATCAGTCAATTATATTGCAGATGTGTTTATATATATATATTAGAGCGTTTTCATATATTATATAGCATTTTAATATATACAATTATATTGCATGTATATTTTTCAATCATCACAGAGAGCTTTTTAATGCTGTGACTTACTGAAGAAAACAAGATGCGAGAAGTTTGCTCATATAATCATTTGATAATTGACGTCTCCTCTTCCTCCTTTGTTTCACTTCTGTCCTCTCCCTTCCTCCCTCTCTCCTCCCTCCCTCCCTCCCTCCTCCCCCCTGCAGAGCTCCTGCAGAGGGAGCTGGCGGAGATGGCCCAGCAGCTGGCCAACATGCAGACGGACGTGAGGGTGAGTTACGGCAACGACGCCCTGATGCCGGACCAGGAGCTGGGAGACGGTCAGATCGAGCTGCTGCCCCAGGAGGACTCGCTGAACCTGGGGGGGGTGGGCTTCATCCACCCTGAGAGCTTCAACCAGCCCAACACAGAGAACCAGGGTACATACAGAAATGACCCCTAAATGCTGTAAAGCAACATTCAATCCACTTTTAGCTTCGTATGCTTTTTTGTGCTTGCAAATAATGTCAAAATAATTTCTTTCCTCAATCTCTTTCTAGTTGAGCCAGTGGACTCTCGCCCCAATTTTGACCGAGGCATTCCCACACGACCAGGTTTGTGCAGACGTAGCTCACAACATGGCTCCATCTCTCTCCTTCTGTACACAATTGTTTGCACAGCAGAATCCACTTGACTTCCATTGAGGCGTGTGTGTGTGTGAACAGAGTGTCCCCATCTTTAATATTACCTTCCTTCCCTTCGCAGTGACTGGAATGAAGATGGAGGCGATGCCCGAGCTGAGGATGGAGACGGAGGACAGACAGAGCACCGAATACGAAGTCCACCACCAGAAACTGGTAAACACACACACACACACACACACACACACACACACACACACACACACACACACACACACACACACACACACACACACACACACACACCGTGACACACAGGTGGGATAGGGTAATGGGCGGGACATCTCCAAGCGGGTCACTGATCACATCAGAGCCGGCCAGCTAACCAATCAGAGCAGACTGGGCTCTGGTTTCAGACAGAGAGTAAAAAGAGGTGCTGCAGCACAGGCAGTATGAGAACAATAAAGACCTTTTTGAACATTAAAGCATGGAGACATGTCCCAGCTCTGCTCTCATTCGATATCCCTTTATATATTGAGACTCATGAATAATCATGGAGAAACACACAAGCATGTAAAAATACGTGATGCATTTACTGACACATGCTAGCTTGCACTCTGCTCTCTCTTTTCCATAAGAACACACGCACGCACGCACGCATACACACACACAGGTCTCCATCTATGGTAAACTCTCAAGGTTGTCACCATGGATACGGGTGTCTATGGAGACAGCCGTGACAACGCGTGCGTCACACTGTCAAGTCTTTATATGCAGGTATTTTTCTAAAACAATATCTATTCATTAATCCCATCCAATGTGGTAATACCAGCACACAAAAAATAAACCTCAATTCATCCCCAAATCCAAAGCCGTGCACCTGATTCCCCTCACCTCCAGGCTTTAATCTCTTAATCCCTACATTTTATAACGTATCACATTTCCTGCATTGACAAAGCAGCCAGCGTGTAAAGCAGCCTCCCTGAGTCGACTCCTGATTTAATATTCTCCGTAACCCCCCGATCCGTGTACTGCCGGATTTATTTATTATTTGTATTGAATGTATTTATTTTGTCTGGCTCATGGTAATGAATATCAAATGGATACTTTACTTACATTTCCTATGTTTATATTTCCTTTTTTACCTTTTTATTCTTACTTTTTATGTTTAACAAATGTCTTGATTTATTTATCATTTTATTCATCTTACTTTTTCATATATTGTATTTATATTTTATTTAAAGGTCCCATGTCATGCTTTTCCGGTTTTTCTGCATGTAAACGGTCTACAGAGTCAAAACCCTCAAAGTACACCCTGTAGCAAGTAAAACTCTAACACAGAAAAGACCTGTCTCTGCTGCCCCAGAACGCCTCGTTGGACATTTCTCTTTTTCCATCTGTTTCTTCCGGGAACCAAGTGACGTAACGACGACCAAATGGACCAATCCGTGGAGCTCCTCACACACACACACACACTCACTCACTCACTCACTCACTCACTCACTCACTCACTCAGCCGTATCTTTTCTCAGCCGCAGCTGCGTGGATCTCCACTCACAGTTCGCCACACACTCACGTGTGTGTGCTCAGGCTGAGTTTCGCCGTGTCTCGCAGACCCCACGCAGCAACCAGGAAACGACACCAGTTATCCAGCTCACACTGTCGGCTCCTCGAGTCTCAAAGGGCGGAGCAGACCCCACGCAGCATTCTCATCTGTTTGTCATTACTGGTGTCATTTTCTGGTTGCTAACTAACGCCATTGTAACACATAAACACACATAGGGGGGGGAGGGGCAGGAGCTCGAACAAGGCGTTTAGGACAGAGAGTGAATACACATAGTATACAGAGATGCTGGATGAGAAACCAATGTGAGTTTGGAACATTGAACAATGTAAATCTATTCTAGTAGACCTCAACAATGGAATTATGATCAGTAGAAATGGCCATGACATGGGACCTTTAAATCATTCTAAAATGGAACAACGGTCGAGGTCTGATTCTGATGAATATAACATCTTCACTTCTCCAGTCTCCGCTCCACTCAGGGTTGCGATGGGTTTTCGTTATCATCTTAATTGTTGTGTTGTTTGTTGGTCCCATTATCCCCTCTGGTCAGAAGACGCCTTTTGCTTCCATTACTTTTGTTTCTGCACTAAAGCATTTCATTTTTGTATCTCTCCTCTAAGTATTGTGTAGGAGCTGAGTCATACTGCGTTGTGCTCCGCTTTCTGTATATCAAGGACTTGCAAAATGCAAGTCAACGGCAGAAAAAGATAATTCCCTAGCTTTTATATTTTAAAGCTACATTTGACTCGATAATGACACTATTTTGGAAAACAGGCACATTTTAACAGTGTAAACTCTCACAGAACGCAGTGCGATATAATTTTCATTGATGAAAACTAAAATAAATGAGCTGCAACTCTGGATGTTATTCTCCTGCAGTCATATTCAAGGGGCCCTATTATGCTTGTTTTTATAGTATTTTGTGAATGGTCCTAAAGCCCAAAGTTCCATCACCTGACAGACCCTCTGCCCTTCACCCCCCGCAGGTCTTCTTCGCAGAGGACGTTGGCTCCAACAAGGGCGCCATCATTGGCCTGATGGTGGGAGGCGTCGTCACGT